AAAAAATCTTATTTATTTATATAACTATATTAAACATTTTTCCCTTATCTATTTAGTTTTTATAAATTTATTTTCAGCCAATTTGCAAAATATAATGTTGCCCCAGCGGTTTGAAGGGGCTATAACTTCAAATCAACCAGGGTTCAATTCCTACCATTGTTATATTTTCATATATTTAACATTTATCAGCCCCGTTGGGGCGGTCGTGAGTTCGACCCAAATATTCATATTCCGAAGTAGCTCGGTGGTCCAATGGATGTGGGTCGGGTTGGCGGATGTGGGTCCGGCTTCGATAAAAATTCGGACCCATAGTTTTGCAATGAAATAAATTCGTTGGCAACGAAAATATCGATAAGTGGAACTTGTCACATATTGTTGGTCTAGTATGATTTATATCTCTCGTATAGTTTACAAACTATTATACGAGAGTGTAGATTTACTCGGTGCACCTATGATGATGGTTGATTTGGCTATACCCAGGATAGAGGGTGGACCATACTACATATGATCCATAGTAGAAGCCCACCAAGCGAGTTGGCTCTTGCTGAGGAGCTCGCGCGACGAATTGGGAAGCCCATGAACGAATAAAGCCCAATGCGACTTGTTAAGAACGAGTGATATATCCAGATCATGGCGGCTGCTCGCAACAAGCCTTGATAAGAGCTTCTTGCCATAAATGAAATAACCATAGATTTGTAAAGAAGATCAATTAGGATCTTTGATTGATGCTAATTGAATATTCTCTCATTTGTATGTAAGGTTCATAAAAAATGAGTGAAGCCACGTTTTTAACATCAACAATAAAATGGTCTAACAAAAAAAAAAAACATAAACAATAAAAATATTCTTAATACCCTCTTCTAAAAGCGCGCGCTCTCTCTCTCTCTCTCTCTCTCTCTTATTTACTACATTCCATCGACTGTCTAGCTATCGTCGGACCCAAATCCGACATCCAGTATACCTTTCGACAATATAATGTGAAAGGAGTAGAATTTAATTAGAGTGAGATCTTGAGATTGTCACAAAATCCCTAGTCAAACTACCTTCTTTATCCCATTTGAATTCGGGGCAATAATCAACAACACTCAAAACTTTTTAAACATGTTTTATTGGGAAAAAATATCCCTAGTTCATACCCAAAAAAAAAAACTTAAATAATATAATACAAAAAAAATGTAATAATTATTAATTAACCTACATATTACGATCGAGAGCGAGTGCGCCTGTGAAAGGCTTGATCTTTTTTAATAATGACAATATTGTCCTTGTTTCCATCTTCCCTCAAATTTTCACCATTAATCTTGACCGGCACTTTGCTCTCACTACTACACTTCTTCTTCTGAAGACGGAAAGCACTCTTCAATCCGCTCATTAATCTCTGGCCGAAACTCTTCTCGCCGCCGGAGCTCCCGTCGGAGTATGACTCCTCCGACGAAGACGAAATCTCCGTTCTCCTACCCCGTTCGGCGAGGCTCCTAAAACTCGACGCCGAAATCGAACCCATTTGTCCCCTTTCGATCTTGTTGTAGTTTCTACTAGTCGGCTCGGAGCTGAACCGAAAGCTCGCGGACCGACCCGACCCGGCCCGGTTCTTGACACTCTCCGATTCGTTTAACAGTTGCCTCATTCCGTGGAGCTCTTTCTCTAGGGTTTGGATTCTTGAGTTGGTGGCGGTCATGATGGACTTGAGCTGCGACACCTGGCGGAGGGCGGCGTCGCGCTCGAGTATGGCGCCGAGGGTGACGGGGTCTTTTTTCGAGTGTTCTTGGTGGATGCGGCGGGGGTGGGGGTGGTGGTGGTCGGGGGAGGAGGTGGCAGCGGAGATGATGGAGTGGCGGGTGTTGAGCTGCTGGAGGAACATGGCTTGGACGACGAATCGGAGGGGCATTTTCGGGTTTTGTACGGCGTGCATGAGGAGTCTTGGTGTTAGGATGCTGCAGTCTATGTGGTTGCACATTTGGATTTTCTCATCCTCCGACACCGTTTCGATGTTCTCCTATTTTTGATTTTTTTTTTTATAAGTGAAGAAATGTCAAAATAGTGATGATAATTGATAATACAATAGGGAAAAATACATTTTCGGTCACATTTAGTCCCTCGTGTTTCAAAAATTCAACATTTTTAGTCATTTCAGTCAATTTTTCGTTAAAACTAATGGAATCGAGCATATGCTTAACTGAGAGACTAACGGTAAATTGATGAAAATGACAAAAAACGTTAAATTGTTGAAACACGAGGGACCAAATGTGTTTTTTGTGAACATAGGGGACTAAATATGAAATCGGTGCAAACTTGATGGATGAAAATTGTAATTTTTCCATAATAGTTTGGTGTTGCAAATTAAAAAATAGAATTTGGTCCTTATGAATAAAAATTTGAATTATTAATATTAAAAATGTGAATTAATTGTATAAGGTTGTACTTAAATTTGACTAATATTGATAATTAAAATGATTATAAATTATAAATTGTTAAATTATAATCATTAAATTCAAAAAGTATATATGCATGCATACCTTGAGATAAATGTCAATGATTCTGTAAAGAAGATCGTGACAGTCGGTCAAGCGTTGACTAACGGACTCCAGAATCACCTGTAAATCGTCAAACGCCACGCTCTTGAATCCTTCCAAACAGCTCATATCGCCGTCAGATTCGGCCGTCAAAGCCAACGCCTCAACACATCTACTCACGAGCGCCGCCGCCGTCTCCGCCTCCGGCAGCAGCGGAAAACACGACCGCAGCACGATACACGCGTACTCCTTGTTCACGTAAATTGCCTGACGGAAATACGCCTCCGTTTTCTGCTGCAAGTTCTCTTCTCCCGGCGGTCCGCCGCCGTCCTCCGTCATCCCGAGCAGCTCCGCCGCCGTCCGGACCGCAGCGACGTTGAACGGAGTAACGGCGACGTGGCTGCCGTAGCAGAAGTCCGTTACTAAGGAGAATGTTTGGGCCGTTATGTTTAACGGCGGGGAGAGGGTTATTTCGGGGAATTCGGTGAGCTGCCCTTTCAGATAGGTACTCTTTGCAGTTAATGCCCCCTGAGAAACAGTGAAATAGAGTAAATGCACCATCACTTTTCATTTATATCGAAAAACACCCCACATTGGCACATTTATTTAGGGTAACGAACTAACGTATAGAAAAATTAAATACTTGCTGCCATTGCAGGTATTATATATCAACATCCCTTTTGTGACTTGAAATTTTTATTAATTTTATGGGGAAGAGAAATAAAACAGGGCTGAAATTTTGGATTCATCCATTTAGAATGAAATTTAAATACATTATAATAATCGAAAAACTAGTTTATAATAAAATGAGTACTTTAAATTAGGTTTTAAAAAATCGCTACTACGAATTTAAACCTCTTAACTCCAAATTATTCCAAAGATTAAAATTTCATTCAACAAAACAAGATACAACAAAAAAAATGATAACATAAAACTAATATAATTTAGGATAAATTACAATCAGTCCATGTACGGTCTATTTACGAAAATCATTCTATAATTACATCCACTCCTTTGCATTTGTTGATTCATTACATTAACACCCTTTTTAGGGGTATGGATGTACGAAATTTACAAAGTGCAGGGTCTTGGATGTAATAACTCAAAAAGAAGCGGTTTTTTTTTCATAATTACACTTTACCTCTACCTCAGGGAGACGATTGTAATATACACATAATTTAAGATATTGGTAGAATTGCAATTCACCAACTTTATGACTCACTAAATATGCTCGAAAAATTTATTCGAATTATATGTCACACCGGTAAATTTATCGAATTATATTTCACAATACACATGTATAAATTTGTATTTTTGACATACATTCATGTGTCAATGTGAATTGTGCATAAATCAAACATCGAAAACCATCACATGTATAACACATGGCGTAGTGTCAACAAAACTTGATTTTTTATAAATTAAAAAAAAAAAAAAATTCCGCCAAAAATAAAATTAAATGTAGAGAAAAAAAACACACAGACACACCTTGTGAAGGCGAAAAGAAGAATCCTGAACATGTATCACCACATCTGGATCATGCCTCCTCTCCGATGACCTGATTCCGATCAAATGTATACATATAAGAGATCTACGGAAATAAACATATACATACACACACACACGTGTGTGTGTGTGTGTTAGTGTGTGCGAGTGAGTGTGATTACCACGGTTGCGCCGCCGCGCCGGAAAGTTGGGTGGTGGGAGAAGGGGTGAATTCCGGAGAAGGTATGGTTGAAGGTGAAGATGAATATGAATCTTCATTTTCTTCTTCATAAATTGTGCCAACAACCCCCAATTGATTCCACCCACTCATCCCCAATTCTTCCATTTTGTTTTCCTTCTCTCTCTCTCCTCTCTGTCACTCTCTCTCTCTCTCTCTTATAAAAAAAAATGGCAGGATTTGGTTTTTAATTTAGGTAGAAAATCTGAGGGGTTTTTTTGGTGAAGTAATAAATGGGGATGGATTGAAATTGTTTTACCTTGTATGATTTTTATTTTTATTTTTAAATTTAATTTAAATTGGGTGTGTTGGTGCATTAAGTATGGGCATGTGAACAACCATAAATGTTGACCACCCCCACCACTCTCTTTCTCTCTCTAGTTTCTCTCTCTACTGGAATTTTAAATCCAACCGGAGAGAAGGCTTTCTCAGTTCAGGCGGGAGCAATTTGTGAAGCGCGTGGTTCGAAAACCATTAATTTGATTTGATAGATGCCCACCATTAGTACTACAACGCCTGTTTTTTGCTTGACAGTTTTTTTTTGACTTTGTTTGCAACCCCAATTTGTTTCACTAGGTTAAAATTATATTTTTAAATTATTCTTGTGAAAATAAGTTTAAAAAAAATATTAAATTGAATTTTATGGAAATAAGATTTAATTAAATTTCATGGTAACCAGCTAAAAATAAAATAAAAAATATGGAAATAAGATATTTTTTTTTTTAAATTAAGATTGTAGTAAATTTAAAAATACATGTATTACAATACAATGACGGGGCAGGGCTACGGAGCAGGGATGTGGGCCCGTATAGCACATAACACATCCCTGGTACAGTATAATTTTTTTTATTAATCCCAATACTGCTCCATATTTTTCTGGACGGGTATTCCCCCACTATTTTCAGGGCGGGATGGGGCGGATTAAATTGTCATTCCTATACAGTATATTCATAAATGATAATAATACACAAGATAAATGCCCCATAGTTAGATCTACCTAAGTTCATATGCAACCAACTAGTTTGGGAATGTGGAACTTGTGAGCCCTATCTATGTAGATGTAGTCTATTTGTTTTTCATTGTACAAGTAATAAAACCTATATAAATTAATATATTTTGGATTGACAAAAAGATAATTGAAATGGAATATTGAATAGTCGATAAATAGTAATTACTAGTTCATTTATTAATTGGCAACTTATATTAGTTTATAAATTCATTATTAGCATTCTTAACGAACATAATATTCAATTTAAAATACGGTATGTCGATGATTTTATTAAATTAAAGATATAAAATACATTAACTAAATCCAGAGAACATATACGTTTATCGTTGTAAACTCCAATCAAATAATAATGTGATTTCGAACGGGTTTTAATGATCCGTCGTATAATGAATACATCTTATTTTTGCAAAATATAATCACATTCTTGAATTATCTAAAAAGAATTAATATTGAATATATTTTGAACTATGATTCAAAATTTTGAATTGATTTTATTCTTCTTTAGTATTTTCTCCATCAAACAAGTAATTAAATTAATAAAAAAAAAATCAGAAACTATTAAATTTATAAGTAAATTTAAATAAATAGAATCTAGATTCAATGGGCCTCAATCCCCACAAGTCTTGACTAATGAAGTAAAACATGAAGCAAAAGCCCAAGGCCCAAATATATTAAACGGGCCACGAAAAAAAAAAAAAATCATTTCATACGACACCGTATTACGAAACCCTGAAAACATTTCTTCACACCCACTATAAATTGACGAAACCCTAATTTTTCCAGAGTCTCCAGCCTCACAGCAACCACCGAGTAGAGAGAGCAGCAGCAGCCGGCGGCGAAGAAGAAGATGAAGTACAATCCACGTGTCTCCTCCTCCCGGCGCAAGAGCCGCAAGGCGCACTTCACCGCGCCGTCGAGCGTCCGCCGCGTGCTGATGAGCGCGCCGCTCTCCGGCGACCTCCGCACGAAGTACAACGCGCGGTCGATGCCGGTGCGCAAGGACGACGAGGTGCAGGTGGTCCGCGGCACCTACAAGGGGAGAGAAGGAAAGGTGGTGCAGGTGTACCGTAAGAAATGGGTAATCCACATCGAGCGAATCACCCGCGAGAAGGTCAACGGATCCACGGTCAACGTCGGCATCCACCCCTCCAAGGTCGTCATCACCAAGCTCCGCCTTGATAAGGATCGCAAATCTCTGCTCGACCGCAAGGCCAAGGGACGCGCCGCCGCTGACAAGGAGAAGGGCACCAAGTTCACCACCGAAGATATTATGCAGACTATCGATTAGTAGGTTTTTTTGTCTTTCTGAAATTGAGTACTTTTTTTTTTTTGTTTTATTGTTGGATTTATATTAATGAATGTTGATGCGAGGAAGAGAGGGATCAATCTATGTTTATTTTGATGGTACTTTTTGTTTTAGTTTTGTTTCGGTCGAAATGCCGACAATTCTTAGAGTTTTAAATGCGCTGGCCATTTCGTAATTTTTGCTGATAATTGTGTTTTGCATTTCTTGAAATAATTGCGTATTCGAATTCGTGAGATTTGATTGATTTTATTTGCAGTGGTTAAGCTATTTGGAGTATAGATAATTAGATTTGCAATGATGTTTTCATATGCAGTCTATTGAATTTTCATCGTTCGGATTATGTCCGGTACTGCAAATTGCAGGACCATTGCGAGTTGGATCATTTTTGTTTGATAAGCTCAGATTTAAAATTTTGATTTTTTTTTTTTTTTGCAAGTTGGCCGTTCCTTTTAGGGTTGATTTTAGCCATATACTCTTTTACGGTTCATAGATTGCTCGTTTTCGTCCTAGTACGATCCAGTTTAAGTTGGTTATAGTTTTCATTTGAGGAAAATTGAAATAGCTAAAACTCTTAGATAGATGCACATCTGAGTTAAGTAACTCTTTTGCTTATTTTTCGTATTTAGCTGTCTTATACTTGCTTTGGATATCGTTGATTTTGTCAATGCATTACCCTATGTGTTGGAATCCATGATCGTACTATTTGATAAATTTGGTGTCTATAAATAAAGAGTTCTTCAAGATATTGGTACAAATTTAAGGTTTATTTGTATAGGTGGTTCTACTCTGTGGTTGAGTAAATGATTAATCGTAATTCTCTTCGGGTTTTTTGAGAATAATATAAGAGCATTCCATTTGTGCAATGTTCTAGCAGTTTAAATTGTAATTTTCTATCCGAAAAATTCATATTTTTTTAGAAGCGAGGTATGTTGGCATAAGAAATTATTTGATATATACCACATGTTTTCAAAGTTGGCCTTATAAAATGGCTTTACAAATAGACATTTGTACATCACAAGAATGAAAATTTGTACGCAAACGATCTCTAATTTTTAGCTGTTTAACTTATGCTAAAATTCAAAAACAAAATGATGACGCTTGAAATAAACAAGCAAGCATATAAAGATTAGGAATAAAAAAACTAGATTAACTCTTGTTTGAAGTTCAAAGTTAGATTACAATTTAGTTCAAACGTTTGAACTAAATTCAACTTTAGATCAACCAATTGTACCAGTATCGTTGCACCGAGTTCGCCTGAAATTCTTACTACCTCTACCGACAGAAGGGTAGAGCTATTCCAAAGAAACCAAATGTGCCATGAAACAAAGTTGCAAACCAAAGAGTTAACAACTCCAAAGAATATCTTTCATGCAAAAAATCCTCAACAAGAATGATAAAGGGATAGTTGAAAAACTGAGGAAAACCGACTACCCCATTTGCATCACATCAAATGACGCTTTGATTCCCTACGATCTAAAAATTGTATATCGGTATACAACTTATTTCCAACGCAACTTTCAAAAAAGAAACTCAACTACTACGGCTCTCAAGGTTTCACAGCAAGGCATACACCAAACTTTGGTGTCTTATCCAATGCCTTAGTGTCGAATTCACTGGATATAGTCACAAGTGATTTTCCAGCCAGTTCGTGCTGCAAAACGGCCCCCAGTGAGCCATGATTGTTAAGCTTCACTTTCACGAGCGACAGACTGTCAATTGCGTAAGACCCTCCGACTGATAATGTGTTCTCGTTTGTGGAGAATTTTCTTGCGATCTCACCCACACCAGCACTCCTCTTTGATTGATCCAAATAGTGTATGACTGATACCTTTATAGTGTCCCCTTTGTCACCCCTTAAAAATATTTATTTTATTTTATAATTCTAGTAAAAAATAAAACCAAAATAGGACAAGTGATGCGGTATATACTGTAGACTTACAGAATAATGGAGGCACAGGAATCTGGTTTTGTCACAGTTATGGCGGCGGTGTATTTTGTCAATTTACCGGAAGTTGTCTCGTAACCTGCCTCTGCACCCAATGCAAATGTGGGTGTACCGAGGGTGACTGAAAGATCGATTGGAGGGGTTTGGTTCAGACCAACAGCTGCACTTAGGGCTGCATGAGGGTGAAAGTATTGAAATTCCATCTGCAAAAAGAAAAAAAAAAAAAGAGGGGTGGGGGGGTTCAAGTTAGAGAAAGAGTAAGGCTAATTCTTTATTTATTTTTCTCATCAACTTATGTAGTTAAAACAATAAATTGACAGCGGGTACCTTGCCAGACTCATAATTTGGATATTTCAGTGTGGCGATGGTCTTTGACGAGGGAACGATATCAGTAATCGCTACAGTTGCTGAGATCTGCCAAAACGAAAGGAGGGATCAGTTAAATGAGTATTTACTTTTTTTTTTTTTTTTTTTACGAGGTTGGTACTTTTTCTACTCCATCAAAATTAGAAGGTGACTTTTACTTCGAATTGGTTCTTCCAATTGCGAAAATATAATTTATTCTTCAATCTTACTCTGGTTCTTCCAATTGTAATAATTTATTACAACGTAACTGTAAATGGAAAAGAAAAGGAGTTTCACATTAAAAAGGTTTGAGAATCTCACATTCGATTCCGTATCAACTTTGACGTCAAGAAAAGTATTCTTGTACACGTACTGAGCAGCCACATCACCAGATGAGTAGCCTCCTTTTTTCACTGTGGATGTTGTCAAGGCCTGCATTCAAAAGGTAAACGAGATTGATATGAATGCAACTTCAGATTCTACGTAAAACATTTAAGGAATTAAATGATGATGGTAAACAAAAAATAACGGTAAACAATCTAAGCAATTCATAAATGATAATTGGCCAGGGATGTCGTAAGTTAAGTTTGACAAAATCTGAGAGCTCGAGTACAATATTATGAGCAGGAGCTCAACGTGTCCATATTGAAAGGCTTCAGATATAGATCAAAAAAGAGTTCACTCCGAGTTTCAAGCTCAAATTCAATCTCGTTTAGTAAGAAAATGACACATCGATATTTTGACTAAACAAATGAAAATTTTCCGTTTTCCTTTTGAAGAAATCATTTACACAAATTAGTTTGTCAAGATATTCTTTAGCAATAAGAAGGATATTAAACAAGAGAAAACATTGATAACGGTAACAAAAGTACATCATTGTTCAAACTACATCTACCAAAGTCCCATAGCCAAATTCTATTATAATTACAATAAACTAGATGATCATCATAATATAACTGTTCATAATTTCATTACAGATGAGAATGCGAACACGTCCCTATATTCAACCCAAATACGAGAAACAGTGGCCTCGTTAGACCTTATTCAACCACCATGAATAAATGAAATCACGAAACGAGTTCTTATTCAAAATTTAATAAATCGAGAACAAAATAAGTTCTTCCTACAATTAAAGGCACATTCAACATAAAAATGTTCAGCGTCAATCGGGAACAATAACATATCAACCAAACACTAGCGTATTCAAATTTTAAAATCGAGCATAGCAATATACATATCAATATCCAACTGCATCAATACTTTCCTAATTCCACCTTCCTCCGCCTACAGAGAATCTACTAAAACATATTGCATCTCAATTTTATCTCTCATTGATTTACCACAGGTAGCACATGATCAATGAACGCTGTAACCCTAAAAATAACGACCCAAGGACAAAATTACAAAATCAATGGAAAAATAAAATGCAAACGGATACAAGAAAAAAAGAAGGCATAAGCAGCGAATAGATAATCCACGATAAATACTACAATAAAATAAATAAATAAAAATTGTACCAGTCCAGATTCAGTAACGGAGGAGACGGATAATTTGTGATCGGAGAGATAATCTCTGGTCAGCAGATCTAAAAATAATAATAAAAAAAAAATTTAAAAATCAAAAATCGAACAGAAATTCAAACCAGAAACACGAGATTGAAGAAATTTATGAATTGATGATTTGATCGGAGAATCTGAACCTTTGGCTTTCTTGCCAATATCTGAGAAGAGTCCCGGTCCTTTGCTCATTTTCTGCAGCTGATTCGTTTCTAAATTTGAGTGAGAGAGATTGAATTCGAGAAATTCTGTCAAATTAAAATGAAAGGGAAGAGTGTGTGTGTGTGTGTGTGTGTGTGTGGATTGAGGAAGAAGAAATGGAGGAAAACCGTCTTTTCGTGGTGAACACTGAAACGCAGGTTTGGGGGAAAATGGTAAATATTCGGAATTGTGGTGGTGATTTAAAATCAGATTGTTGTGGACCGTTGATTTGAATGATCGTACGGTTGAGAGGCAGAAGGTGACGGTCGCTCCGTCACAGGCGTGACACTGTAGAATTTACTGGCTACGTATGTATGTATATGTATGCAAGTAGTTTTCTAAATTTGCTGCTATTTCGAAATCGTTTTGCCCTTTCCTAATAAGTTATGTTTGTTAAAAGAAATTAAATGGAAATCTAATACTATAAATAAAAAATCTCTATCATTTGTTGATACTTCGGGGCTGTTCACAACAGCTCGATTTTTCAATTTTCTGTTCGGTTTTTTATTTTTTATTTTCTTTTTCGTCGCCTTATTTATTAGTGACAAAATATTTATACTCGAAAGACTAACAAGTAGCACTTTTCAAATTCATTTATTCAAATAATTTTCTTTCGACATCCGTAAACATGATTTCTTTCGATATCCTTATTCAGAAACGAAATATGCCTAAGGGCTGGGGGGGGGGGGGGGGGTTGAAAACCTGCTTGACAAAAATAGAATCGACTCCCCCTCGTATGAAAGTTCGTTTTCCCCCCTCTGCTACATATTTCAAAATCATTGGCGCTACCTAATATGTTTTGTTTGTAAGATTTTTTTTGCATAATTTGACTCATTCTCTTCAAACAAGAAAATCCATATCATCTTTCGATCTTTAGACGGTTTCTAACGGCTAGACTTTTTAATTTTTTTGTTCGACTTTCTTATTAATAGGGAAAATTACGGCCACCCCCTGAGTACGGAAAAAATCACTCGTGTTTGGATAATTACAATCATATTTCTCAACTTGAAAGGTTTTTTCCGTAATTTAAGTATATCTCAGGGGTGGCCGTAATTTGTATTTAGTAATAAATATTTAAACTAAAATACGAACAAATTAAACAACACTTATATATATATATATATATATATATATATATATATATATATATATATAATAATAATAATAATAATATTTCTCTTTATAACCCCCACTAAAAATTTGAACTTTTCATAGCTTATTATATTATAATACAGTTTTTTTTGTCTCTTCTAATTGGAACGTGAAAACGTGAACTAACTCACGTCTCTATGATTATTGATTAGATCATAAAATAATATTGACTTCATAATTAGGTTTTGACATCTTCCAAAATAAACAGCTGATCACACGATTAAATAATTTTAATTATCTTCCCTATAATAATAATAATTTAAATTATCTGCTAAAGTATATGCTAGTTGGCTTGGTTCGTACGAGGTTTGCTGAGTTTTTACAACCTTTGTGTCACGTTAATTTAGGCTTCACATCTAATGGGCTTCTTAGTCCATATCAGAATAAAATGACGTCATGGTTATTTAAAATACATTATTTAATGAGTTAAATTGCAATTTTTAGTTGTAACTATTGGTATTTAAAAATTATTTGGATGTGTTCAATAATTGTGATTTAGTTCATGGTAATAGTTTTTGTTATAATCTTATATCTTATCTTATATATAAAAGAAAGAAAAGCTGGGCAACCCTAAAAAACCCTAATGGTATTTCTGTAATTATTTATTTTTAATATTTTTTCTCTACTAATTTATAGCTATAAGTTTTAACAATTATTAAAATTAAAACTAACCCGTGAAGAATCATACCTTATTGCTACTTATGTAATTATTTATTTTTAATATTTTTTCTGTACTAATTTTTTAACTATAATTTTCTACAATTATTGATATCCTATTTTTCATCAATATATCTCAAATCTTAAAAAGATTACTACATTATTAAATTTTACTATATTAGTGTACTATATTTTCTTATTATGTATTAAATTGGTTTTTTTTCTTTCACTATTTAAATAATACTCCGTGCATCGCACGGGGAAAAAATGCTAGTTATTATTATTAAGAACATATGTTAAGATTGTATTTATACCTAGAACTATTTTTTGATATATAAAACATATTTATGTATAGAATTCCAAACCAACAAAAAAAATTCAAAGCATAACATTTACATTACAAATAGGAGAGTGTAAATGAGTCGAGCTCGCCAGTTTTTTCGAGCTCAAGCTCAAGCTCGTCGAGCTTTCATTTAATAAACTCGAACTCAAGTCAAAATTCGAGATTGAGCTCGAGATTTTATTGAGTCGGCTTAGCTCATTTTAATTCCTAACTACAATTGTTACTTTCAAACTCAATGTTTTCCCACAGTACATCTTTGTCCAATCACTCTCTATGCTTGACAAAACATTGGTCAACAGGCTTGGGCCAACAATATTTTAAAATAGTTAAGAAGATTATAGGCCAAATTTCAACCACCTCCTTGAAATAAAGTGTAATTATAAAAAAGTCCCTACTTTCTGAAAAATTACATCCAGCCTTTTGAAGATTGTAAATTTCTTACATCCACCACCCTTTGAAGGGGTGTCAATGTAAAAAATCTATAAATTTCAGAGGTAGACGTAATTATAGAAAAACGAGGGATTTGTTCATCAATAGACTTCAGATCAGGGGTTCCGTTGTAATTAGCCCAAATTTTATGTACCCATTATATATACAAAGACCAAGGTTCAAAAAGTTTAGCATGGTGGGCCCGGTATAGGAACTCGGCCCGCCCTTTTAAAATAGATTCAAAAGAAGACAACCTTAAAAAAAGAAACTATATATCTAAGAAATGTATTAATTAATGTTTGTCCGGTTTAAAAAAAATTCTCACACCTTTTTCAAAATAAAAATATGTTTATTGAGGGTTTGCAATTTGACTATAAAATATATATTTTTTTCTTTCAAAAGTCCTTCTTTAATAATCGTGTCCTCGTTAAAGAACAAACAAACAACACTTAATCTATCAAATTCTTCTTCGAATTTAATAACTACAACGATCAATATCATCTCATTCTTATTCTTTCTCGTAAATGAGTTTATGTTTGTTAACCTTATTAAAAAAAAAAAAAATCAAGACCATTTCAAAAGTTCAATCCTTCAAATATGATTTCACTGTTACAGTGAGAAAATAAAAGAGTCATTTTATTTTATAAATTCTTATTACATAATTTGACTGCTACCGTTTATTGTGCATAATCTCAAATCATAAACAAACATTACTTTTATTTTCAAATTATTATCTCAAAGTATTTCTTCAAAATAAAATAATAATAACTATCAAAATCATTCCAAAAATTACTTTCATTTCTTAAATTATTCTTGTAAGAATCTTTTTTTTCAAAAAAGAAATAGAAAAAATAAATCCCAAAGTACTTTCATAGTTTCACCCATCCCATTCGCACCCCACGCGTATGGAACGCGTAAACGACGACCAATAAAAGTCTATTCCCCACTAGACAATTGACTTGGTCAAAAAAATCACCTTTAATAATTAATACTGTTAATTAACATAATCTAAATTTAATTAGTATTTATGATTAATCATTTTCCCTTTTCCATTACCTTAAATTTCTCATTATTTTAATGTCAATTTATGGCTTTACGCGCTCAACAACCAATTGAAACTCAGACGACAAAATCGGAAAGAAGAATCTCTCATAATTCATAATTCATAAATCATAATAATTATAATATAATATAATATATAAAAAATGTAAATATTTTCTTAATCGTCACTTTCTAGGTAGGTTGACTTCTTCTTCGACGAAGCTTCAATTTCCATTGTTAATTGTTGCAAGTTGCGCAGCACTTTCTCTCTCTACATTTTTTCAATGGCTGCCTATATTACGAGTTGAAACGCAACGACTGGTTTCACAGAAAGGGGAAAAAAGGAATTAATTTTAATTAGCAGACGAAAAGATAGGATTGTTTGATTTTGAATTTAGGGCGGGGAAATAATGGAGAATTTATTGAGTGAAAATTGGAATTTCGAGTCGAAACATGCGACGGCGGAGGCGTTGCAGCGGTGGCGCGATCGGTGTTCGGTGGTGAAAAACCCCAAGCGCCGCTTCAGATTCACCGCCAATATCCCCAAGCGCAACGAGGCTTCTGAAATGCGCAAAACCAATAAGGTTTTTCTTTTCGCCCCCAATTTTTTTTTTTTTTTTTTAATTTTGAAACAAAATTGAGAATTATAGTATTAAAATTATTAATTAAGAGAAAATAGAAAAGGGCAAGAATGTCTTTAAAGAAATCTAGAATGGAAGTGACAAAATATATGTTTTCACATCAAAATAATTAAAATAACTTTGTACATGAGAATCTCGATAAATTAATAATCTTGATTAAATAATAATTTGTCTCGGTCCGAATTGGTGAAAATGTGTTAAATTATTAACTCGATAATTTAATAATTCGCTAAATTAATAGAATTTTTATATTCCCAACTCTATTAATTTATAGAGACCGTACAGTATAACCTCGATAAATTAATACTCGACCTTGCTTAAATAATAATTAGCTTTCGGTGCCAATTCGGTAAAAAGGTATTATTTTATTAGTTCGATAACTTAATATTTCGCTAAATAATAGAACTTTGCTAATTTCAACGGTATTATTTATAGAGGATTAATTGTATTATATAATTGAAATTGTAATTGTATTTTTTTTTACCATCATTGTGCTAAAATTCTAGTATTAGTAATATTTTTAAATAAAATCTAATTTTTTAGCAATTTAAAAAGATAAATTTTAGCTATTGTTTTGATAATGTGGCTAACAATAATATATTGTATGGGGACAAAATTTTCAGGAGAAATTGAGAATTGCAGTTCTTGTATCCAAAGCTGCAATTCACTTTGTAAAAGGTAAAATTTTGTTTGATTTTTATTAATTTTATTATTTTTCCAATCTTTTATGCCGATTCTTTTCCAAAATATTTATATTTCAGGTGTGCACCTAACCGATTATAGTGTTCCCAAAGAAGTCGAAGCTGCCGGTTTCCAAATATGCGCCGACGAGCTAGCTTCCATCGCCGAAGGGCACGACGTAAAAAAGCTAAAAACCCACGGTGGGGCCCACGGCATTGCCGCCAAGCTCGCCACGAGCCCCACCACCGGCCTCCCCACCGGAGCCGACGCCCTAAACCGCCGCCAGCAAATCTACGGCATCAACAAATTCGAAGAGGTCCAATCCCGCAGCTTCTGGCTCTTCGTCTACGAAGCGCTCCATGACATGACTCTCATGATCCTCGCCGTGTGCGCCTTCTTCTCTCTCATAGTTGGCATTGCCACCGAGGGTTGGCCCAGTGGGGCCCACGACGGCCTCGGAATCGTGGCCAGCATTCTCCTCGTCGTTTTCGTCACTGCAACTAGCGATTACCGACAGTCGTTGCAGTTCAAGGATTTGGACAAGGAGAAGAAGAAGATCTCGATCCAAGTGACGAGGAACGGCTACCGACAGAAGCTCTCAATCTACGAGCTCCTGCCGGGTGATATCGTGCACCTCGCCATAGGCGATCAAGTCCCTGCGGACGGTTTATTCCTCGAGGGGTTCTCCGTCTTGATCGACGAGTCAAGCCTGACGGGCGAGAGCGAGCCCGTTATAATTAGCGATGAGAATCCGTTTCTACTCTCCGGTACGAAAGTGCAAGACGGTTCTTGCAAGATGCTCGTCACTAATGTCGGCATGCGGACGCAGTGGGGGAAGTTGATGGCGACGCTCACGGAAGGAGGCGACGACGAAACCCCGTTGCAGGTTAAACTCAACGGAGTTGCGACGGTTATTGGGAAAATCGGACTCTTCTTCGCCATAGTGACTTTCGCGGTCTTGGTCCAAAAAATCTTCATTAGGAAATTGCAAGACGGTACGACCTTAATTTGGTCAGGCGACGACGCGCTCGAATTGCTCGAATATTTCGCAGTCGCCGTCACTATTGTGGTCGTCGCGGTGCCCGAAGGGCTCCCTCTAGCCGTCACATTGAGCTTGGCGTTCGCCATGAAGAAGATGATGAACGACAAAGCACTAGTCCGCCACCTGGCGGCGTGCGAGACGATGGGGTCCGCCACGAGCATATGCAGCGACAAGACCGGGACCCTGACGACAAACCACATGACGGTCGTGAAGTCGTGCATCGGCATGACCGTGAGCGATGTGGTCCCGGGCCAGCAGCAGCAGCTGCCCGGGCCCGCGGTGGAGGTCCTCCTCCAATCGATCTTCAACAACACCGCCGGAGAGGTGGTGGTCAACGAGGAAGGTAAGCGCGAGATTTTGGGGACCCCCACCGAGACCGCCATACTCGAATTCGGCCTCTCGCTCGGAGGTGATTTCCACATGGAGAGAAACACGTGTAAGCTCGTGAAAATCGAGCCGTTTAATTCGACTAAAAAGCGAATGGGGGTCGTTTTGGAGCTTCCTGATCAAGGGGGTCTACGGGCCCATACGAAGGGGGCATCAGAAATAGTACTGGCGGCATGCGACAAGGCGATCGATTCGAACGGTGAAGTGGTGCCGCTCGACGACGCGTCGCGGGATTATTTGACGGAGACTATCGACCAGTTTGCCAACGAGGCGCTACGGACGCTATGCCTTGCTTACACGGATCTGGAAAACGGGGTTTCTGCTGACGAGGCGATTCCCTCTTCCGGATTTACATGTATCGGAATTGTGGGAATCAAAGATCCCGTCCGCCCGGGTGTTAGAGAATCCGTTGCACTTTGCCGTTCGGCTGGAGTAACTGTACGGATGGTAACTGGAGACAACATCAACACTGCGAAAGCCATTGCTAGAGAATGTGGGATACTTACTGATGACGGTATTGCTATTGAGGGCCCCGTTTTCCGTGAGATGAGCTTGGAGCAATTACAAGAAGTGATTCCCAAGATTCAGGTGATTAATTAGCTTCGCGTATTTCTCTGTATTATATTAATTTTTTTTTTTTAAATTTAATTTTGTTACTGATATCGATTATTTCTCGCAGGTGATGGCTCGTTCGTCGCCTTTGGACAAGCATACATTAGTGAAGCATTTGAGGACAACTTTTAATGAAGTTGTTGCTGTAACTGGCGACGGAACAAACGATGCTCCCGCACTACACGAAGCGGATATCGGACTTGCTATGGGCATCGCTGGAACCGAGGTGATTTTTTATATTAATTTTATAATTAAATATAAAGTAGCATCATTTGTTTTTTATTGATTTATTTATTTGAATTTTAGGTTGCGAAAGAGAGCGCTGATGTCATAATTCTGGACGACAATTTCTCGACCATCGTGACCGTGGCCAAGTGGGGCCGTTCGGTGTACGTGAACATTCAAAAGTTTGTGCAGTTCCAGCTGACTGTTAATATCGTTGCGTTGGTCGTGAACTTCTCTTCGGCTTGTTTAACCGGTAATAAAGACAAACTTATTTTTAGAATTATATATTCCAATCATATAAAAAAAGTTTATTCTTAATTTTTCGAATGAAATGTTAATTTTCAGGAAGTGCTCCCCTAACGGCGGTTCAGCTTCTGTGGGTGAACATGATTATGGATACACTAGGCGCGCTCGCACTAGCTACCGAGCCGCCAAATGAGGCACTAATGACGAAAACGCCCGTCGGAAGAAAGGGTAATTTCATAAGTGCTGTCATGTGGAGAAACATCCTAGGCCAGTCGTTGTATCAGTTCTTCGTGATATGGTTTCTTCAAGCCTACGGAGAATCGGTTTTCAAACTTAACGGAAGCTCGAATTCCGGATTGATCCTAAATACGATTATTTTCAACACTTTTGTCTTTTGCCAGGTAAATTTATTTTCTGTTTTTATTTTTAATTTTTTTAATTTTTGCTCCATATTTTTTATCTTGAATTTATTTTAAAAATTTATTTATTTGGGCAGCTGTTCAATGAGGTGAACTCGAGGGACATGGAGAAAATAAACGTGCTCGAGGGCATTTTGGGAAATAATGTTTTCGTGACGGTTCTTGGCTCGACTGTAGTTTTTCAGATCGTGATTATTGAATACCTCGGGACTTTTGCGAATACGATTCCTCTGACTTTAGTGCAGTGGTTTGTGTGCGTTTTTATCGGGTTTTTGAGCATGCCGATTGCTGCGGGAGTGAAGAAGTATATTCCTATGGATAGTTGAAGACATAACACAAATTAATGCAACTGTGACAATAATTTTATTGGATTTAATTGTAAGAAATTCTTGATTTCATTGGCTTCTTAGGTATTTAATTAATAATTAATCATCTGTTATTAGTGTAGGATTTTTACTTCTTTTATTTATGTATAGTTGATTTATTTCACTGATTGTTGTTAATTTGTTTATGACTGCTGCAAACAGAAAAGTTGACTGGAATTTAATCATCTGTTACTCTCGATTTCTGGCGATTTCGACTCGAAAATTTCCGACTTTGGCTCAATATTTATTTTTGTTCAATCGGCCTTATTCTTCGCATGTTATTATTAGATTGTGTATCTTTAATTATGGGTGAAAATCGGCACGTAATTTCTAAAATTCACTTATTTATATTCATAATATTCAACTTTAAAACCTTTTTGTTATTTAAATTTTTAAAATTCCAATTTCTTATTTTTTCGAAAAAAGGTTTGAGATTTGGATTTTCGATTCAAATTCAATTTCTAAATAATTCTTAATATTCAAATTAATTTTTTTTTCATCTAAGTTGTTTTTAGGCAATTACGGCCACCCCTTAAGTTATGGTCAAATTATAAAAAACCCCTCCGGTTTGGGTAATTATAGCCACTCCTCAGCTATGTAAATTATACCTCTCTAGAAGTAAACTTAGGGATGTTAAATCGGTAAAACCGAACTGAATATACGATTTGGTTCGGTAAATAACCGAATTACATAAATTTGATGTAAAAATATTTAAAATGAGAGGGGTGGCCGTAATTTGTCCGATTTTCCAAATTCCAATTTCGATTTTCCGGATTTTGGAACAAAATTGGAACAAAAATGGAATTAGTTTTTCAGATCGATACGATTTTCGATTTTCGTGCCTACTCCTCACCAAAACCAATGATTAAAAGCTTCCTGAACTATAACTAACCTCTGCTTATTACAACTAAAAAAACTCTTCAATGTTTCTGAATTTTTTTTACTCAATACCCATTTATTTAATTTGTAAATTAATTTAAAAGCAAACAACTGCAGCCAAACAAGAATTGAAAATTCTTGTACTATAACATATCTTGGTATTTTATACATAATTACTGGACCACAACTTAAAAATTAAAAAACCAGCTGCACACTGCAGAATGAGACCATGGTTATTTAATGTAAACCTCAGTACAAGTTTACAGACAACCATGTGATCAAAAAATTCACCATGAATCAAACCAAACAAGGACCATTTGATAAATTATATACAGTCAGAGGGCTAAAAATCAAATCTTTATTTTTTTTCTTCAAAAAAAAATTCATCCCCTATTGTTATAAATTTGTATAGTGTAATAATCAAACCATGATTTTAATTTTGGTTTCAACATTAAAATCCTAAACAGAATGATTATATGGGGCTTTATGACAACAAAGACAGCACATTGTAACACCAAACAAAGACAATATTGTTCTAATTAACATGCTTTTTTCAATGGCCCCCAAAAAATTGCAATAATAATAAATAAATAAAAGAAAAAGAAAATAATATAAATAAATAAATAAATAAAAACCAACCAAACACTACTAAAAAATAAAAATTGGCAATCCCACATCCAACTGGCTATTGTACTTTAGTCAACTTAATTATTCATCACTTGTAAGCTAAAGATTTATTTCTTTTTTTTTTCGGGTTTCTTGATTATACGCAAATTCGTCGTTTTGTCGTAAAGGCTAAAAGAATCATACCGTATGTTGGTATTTAACTCTAGAAAGTTATAGCAAAAAGAATCCAATTTTACGCAGATTAATATTCTGATATATATTCTACGAGGGACTGTCTTGATCACCATCGTCAAAATCGAGTCTTCTTTTGGTACCAACTCTCGATGCATTTGTCGACTCATCGATTTGCGACGAATTGGGAGGAATAGCCGCAGATTCTGGGGTTTTCAGCGTCAACATTTCTTGAAGTAAACGATAAAACGAAGAAGTATGCTCCTATTCGAACGAGGGAAAAAAACGTTTAAATTTTACGAGTCACTCCATATCAAATGAGGTAAAGATAAATTAAAAACAAAATAAGATAAAAAAACTCACTTTCTCCAAAGATGGAACTAAATCGATCTTAGAATCCAATTCCGTTTTCGTTAATTGAAAATTATAAGCTGCTAAAACCGATGCTGCTGCAATAGTAGATGATTGATGTTCCACTAGATTTATCTCTGCGCGCAAATTAAACAAGTTCATCAAATACTTAAAAAAGCAATCTTTAAAAAACTTAAAAAAAAAAAACCGGAAAATTAATTACCTCCGATTATGGTGAAAATAACCTCAGCAGCTTCGATCACGAGTTCTCGACGCCTAGTTTCTTCGTCGCAGAATTTAGTGACGAAGTAGTTGAGATAAGCGAACGGGGTGACGGAATTCATTTTCCATTCCAATGTATTTAGGACCATTAATTCCATTTTCTGAATCGTATTTCCTTGAAAATTATATCCCTCTACATGATATCGTGTTACCGGCATTGCTCGAATTTCCTCCATTTTTGCAGCCAGAGATAAACAAGCCACCGATAATAATTTAATATTCCACAATTGCCCTTCCTATAATATATCGAAAAATAATCAAGAAAATGTCGTAGTTAAATTCAAAACCAACACACCAAAAATATACTTACAGAAATCCATCTTCGTGCTAGAAACCGATCGATATAAATCAACGAGAGGTAAGCAGTACGGTATTGATATCTGAAGATGGCCTTTGTCTGCAAACAAGAAAATTTCAAATTTCCAAAAAAATAAAATAAATTACTTTTATTTTTTTATTTTTTGAGAAAATTACAGACATCTATAATCCATTTGATGGCGTCGGAACGGGCGACTTTAAGCCACCTTCTTTGATTCCATCGAAACGCGATTTTTCGTTGAAGAGGCATTTCGACAAACACGTTGTCTGCATCGGAAACTGAACAGTACTGCAAATCTTCATCTTTTTCTTCGCTGTGTTCGTTCAAAGTTGATGCATCTTCTTCACAGAAAAGATTCGGAGATGCAGTTTCAGATTCCATTTTTTCTATTTAATTTTTTTTTCTGCAAGAATCTTGGGAGAAAAATACGGAAAAGGAAAATGCAGTAGTCAAATGAAGGTTTTCTCTAAGGGAGAAGAGATTCGAGAAAATCTTGATTTTTGCGCGAAAGTGTGAGAAGTTGCGGTTTTGCTGCCGCCAAATTTAACGGATGGGATATAGGGAATGTTTTTTTATTTTAATTTTTTTTGTTTTTTTTTTTTAATATTTCGTGATTTTGTTTTTGAGTTTTGGTTTCCTATTAATATAATAATATTATAAGAAAACATTTAAAGTGTATCTCACTTTTTTGAGTTTACGTATCTACGGTGTACATATGAATGACATGTTACATTGATGCCACGTGGCCATCTAATATTATTCTCATAAAAAAAATCGGTAATTCTCTAGATTAATGAATTATATAATTCTTGTAATATGATTTTTTATTTATTTATAAATATTTAGCAAATCTTTTCCATAAATATTATATACTTAGTCAATGTTTAAGAATGTTCGATACTTTAATTTATCCTTGTATGTCAAGTTTACTTGATGTATGTTTTGATATACGTCATGTGAAATACAACGAGTATATCATTATTATTTGTTCAGCGTACAAATACGTACATCTATTTTAGAGTGTATAAATAAATAATAAATCGCAATATTTCATCAAATATAACATATACTAAAATCCGTAAAGTACAATATGAAGTACACATATTACACTAATGTAATATAAAAGCATATCCTAGTATTTTAAATTAATTTTGCTGTTAGATTAGTATGGACAAAAACTAAATCCAAATGACTAAATGAAGCAATTAAAGTCAAATCCAACTTAAATATTTAGTTTAATTGATGATATCATTTTAGATTCTTGGTAAAATTTTATTGAAAATTGGAATATTCTATGCAAACCAACTTATAAGCTACAAGTGATGAACTAATAAAGGCAGGAAACAATTGGGGTGTTCGCATCGCAATAAATGGTCTAACGGTTAGAGCAAGTGAACTTGTATCAATTGATCAAAGTTTGAAGTGCTGCCAACGGTTACTAGGTCGAGTTTGTCACATATGATTAACCTAATGTGATGTTATATATCTCATTTATTTTGCGAACTATTATACGAGAGTGCCAATTGCCGATTAATTTCTCAAAAGACTTTTATTTACTATGCAGAAAGAATAGTATTTTCAATATATAAATAAATAAATAAATTGGAGGCGTCCCAATTCATGGAGTAAATTACGAAAACTCTTTGAATTGAGGCTAAATAGTGAAAAATACCCATACATATACCTAATTATCAAAAAAACCCTGATGTTTGTTTCCGTCTTACGCCATTCTCCTTAAAGTGTGACGTTTCACGGATTATTTTGTTTATGCAGGGAATAGACTTCTTTCCACAATATCAGATATGTTCTTTTATTTCTCACATATTTAACAGAAAGTATGATAGACTGGACACATTTTCTGTTAAAAAACTCGGCCGACAATTAATCAAAGGGGAATTTTGGTTATTACAGATAGGTGGATGCGTTTTTCGTTATTTAGCCTAAGTTCAGGGGGTTTCGTAATTTACCCAATTTATATCATATTTATAAATTGATTTTTAATAAGAAAATATGATTGGTGGTGAACAAGGGAGCGGTTCACGTGTGCCAGAAACATGGACCACGATGAACTGGGAATATCATAATTCATAACCAAGACGCTCCTCCATTCTCAATTAAATTCCCACACGTTCATCTTTTTTTATTATTAATTATAATTATAATTACAATAATAATTATTATTTTTATTATTATTATTATTTGCCAGCCCTAACTTGTACCCACAAATCAATCACAACATTCATAAATATTGTCACGCAACAAGGAAGTTTGTTATTATTATTATTTGTGTCATACTATCATCTTTTTATTTTTATTTTTCCTCAATGGGATTATATTTATATAAATTACTTTAAAAAAAATTGTTATCGATCTTTTAGTATCGTCGGCTCACTGCGGAATTGTTTATGCATATTTGGCCCTCGTAAATACGAAATTCTGGCTCTGCCATTGCTCCATTTGATTTGTTTCGATTTACATAGGAGGATAATCTCTTCTTAAAACTAATTATCTTATAAATTGTTTTGATTGTTGAATTAAATAATGGTTAATTTCTTCCCTACTTGAGCCTTTTTTATTTTTTATTTTTTTGGGGGTTGGTTGGGATTTGATTCATCATGTTGTCTTAAGAGGGTGTTTGGCTAAGCTTATTTTAAACAGCTGATAAGCTCTTACGTCTGATAAGATGTTTTAAGAGCTGATAAGCTGTTACATCTTATTTTTAGGATTAATTTTTAGAGTGTTTGGATAATGAGCTTATTTCCTATTTTTACTCATTAAAAGATCTTAAATAAAAAGGTGGGGTAGAGGTACTTATTTAAAAAGATCTTATTTGCTCTCCAACAGCTTATTTTAAAAAAAATTAAGATCTTTTTCTAAAAATTTACCAAACACTTTGGAAGATCTTATAAGCTCTAAAACATCTTATAAGCTCCTTTTAACATCTTATAAGCTTAGCCAAACACCCTCTAAGTCTTTGATCGATTCACAAAATGTCTAGCTTTTTTGTGACCTCCACATTTGATTTAATGCATTCTAATTAATTGTTTGTGATATAATTCTTAAAAAAAAAAATAACAGAAAGCGTACTAGGACGGGGAATGGATTTGAGTTAGGAGTGAAAATCAGATGAAATTGATCAAAAATAGTTTTTTTTTGGATAATCTACAATTTTTTTGGAAGTTGATTTTTTGTCCCAAAAGAAATGAAATGCAAAAATCCATTCCGATTTCGGAATCTGCGGAATTTAAAAAATTCAGAAATTGCATTAATTTATATTTTTTTCAAATTCGGATATAATAGGAGTTTTCACAATTTTTTCTATTTTTTCTCTTCGATATTTTGTAGGAAAATACAAGAATATCCAAGAGAGAGTCCGACAAAACGCAATAAATAGAAACACATGTATGAAAAACAAATTGAAACATTCCAATTTCATTTCAAATAAATTCGGTAAAATCGAAAATGAAAAATATAGCTCCAAATTCAGATATTATCGGATCAGAATTGGCGGAATTTGAAAATTTCTGATTTTCCACCCCAATTTGAGTGCAATCAAACTCAATTAATTAATTCAATTAGCTAATATTAAAGCAATCCATATAATCCACCACATTATACTGATTACTGACTGCTTTGCCTGATTCATTTTTTTTTAATTATTATTATTTTCTGTTTAATTTGTTTTGGGCCAGACTTTAGATTTCTGGACCAAAAGAAAAATGAATAAAAACATTTCATATATTTCTTCTTCGTTTTCTGGCTCGAAATTTCTTCAGTCTGATTTGAAGGCCAGATTTCCGCCTTTTGTTCAAATCGATTCACGAAAATAATCTAGAGAGAGAAAGTAATCAACAGGATGGGAGGAGGAATGGAGATGCGGAAGAACCATTGGATCGAGGAATGGGCAACGGCTAGAGAGAATCTGGAGCACCATTTCCGATGGACCCGCCGCAACCTTGCCCTCGCCGGAATATTCGGAATCGCCGTCCCCGTACTCGTTTACAAAGGCATATATCGTCAAAGATTTTGTCAGTCTTCCCCTTTCTCTTACGATGATATATGATTGAATCAACAATTTTCTGCTATTTTATTTTGATTTTGGCTACTGCTGAACAATGTATCAGCTGCTGTAATTTGGATAATAAGAAGAAGAATAATATATATATATATATATATATATATATATATATATATATATATATATATATATATATATATTTTTTTTTTTTTTTATAAATTTTCCAATATAAATATAATTATATTTTATATTATTAAGAAATATTTAAGTAATACATATTTGTTTCTATATATATACAAAAAAAATTTTATATTATAGACTATATACATATCTCGTTATATTTATAATTATAAGAATAAGTATAAGAATTATATATATATATATACATACAATCCAAATATATTATTCACGTCCATTTTCAGCAATCCACTCGTTTAGACTCCTAAAAGTCCGTTTTTGCTTTTTTAGGCAAGTTTTAGAAAATTAATATCAAATCATAAAAAAATCGTATTAGGATTCCGTAAATTGGGTTGTACCCAAAATTACGAGATCTACTAGAATTAGGATTTAACTCGTTTTTGCCGTTTTTGGTAATTTTTAGTATTTTCTTAGTTTAATTAGAATTTTCAGTTTTTTAGTATAAATAGCTGCCTTAGCACTTTATTTTGAGAAGAATTTCGAATTTTAATAAAATCTTTAGAGTTTTCTCTATTTTTCTGGTGGATTCCAGAGTTTTCGGTGGATTCCGAATGTTAATTTGTTCTATAGGATTAATTCGTAGAAATTAATTTTTTACCGTGCTTCCGTTCTGCGTCAGTTGATTAAAATTCGTCAATTGATTTTCTGTCTATTGTTGATGATTTTTCTAGGAAAGTGTTTGTGTTTTTACTCAAGAATAAATCTGATGTGTGTGAAAGATTTAAAAACTGGAAAATCTTGATTGAAAATCAAACTGGAAAGAAAATCAAAACTCTGAGAACTGATAATGGAAATGAATTCTGTAATGCTGAATTTGATACTTTGTGTTCTGAATCTGGCATTAAGAGACATAAAACTGTTGTGTACACTCCCCAACAAAATGGTATTGCAGAAAGAATGAATAGAACTTTGCTTGATAGAATTAGATCTATGCTAAATTCTTCTGGCTTGAAAAAACCTTTTTGGGGTGAAGCTGTTCTTACAGCTGCTTATTTGATAAATAGGTCTCATTCTGTGCCCTTGAATGGGGAATTGCCTGAATCTAAATGGTGTGGTAAACCTGTTGATTTATCCAATTTGAAAGTTTTGGTTGTACTGTGTTTGTTCATCAAAAGCTTGATAAACTTGACCCCAGATCTGTGAAATGTGTTTTCTTAGGATACCCTGAAGGGGTTAAGGGTTATAGGTGTTGGTTGTATGGTGATCAAGGTTTTAAAACTGTGATTAGCAGGAATGTTGTGTTTAATGAAAATGAATTTCCATGCTTATCTGTTTCTAATATTGTTTCACCTGATACCACTTCCTCTGAGGTGGAGATTCCACCTGTTAATTCTGTTCAAACTGAAAATGAAAACTCTGATGATGTAATAATGAGATGCC